AGCAGCTTCTCGCCCTCCTTAGTGGTTTGCTTGGTCCTGGATCTTGGATCATTTCTTGCAGAGGTAAGAAATGTATCTTTTTTCCTTCCTTTGCAGCTAAAATTATCTTGTGTTACTTTCTGGATCACAGTCTGGACTGATGGATGCAACAAATGGCTCTTGGGAGCATCCATGCCGTTCTCAGCTGCCTGCCAAGACTCACACTTTCCCTCAAGTGCTACACTTAAAATCTTAAAACCTTTTGCATTTTGTTGACAAATATCTTTGTAAACCCCTGAACTGTTGAGCAGCATGTGGAGGTGGGGAGAAGGTTGTATCACTTGGTGTCAGAGCTGGAGGGAATGGGTGAGCCTGCCAAGTTCTGTGCTCTAGGGTTGGCCACAGGAGCCCAACATAAATATTTTAGTAACGGAATTATTTTAACTTCATTTTAATGGATGTTTAAGCTGTTTGTTCAGCTTAAAATTGTTTTAAAGCAACATGTTTCCATGCACTGCTCTCAGGAAAAGACAACGTGAAGTGTTAATTCACAGAATTCTGTGAAATGTTAATTGGCTTTGTCTGGGAAGGGGACAATGATTTGACCTGATGGGTTGCTGTAACATTCCACCTGGGGACTGCAATGCTGCTCAGCTCCCAGTGCCCACAGTGCAGAGCTGGGACAGGTCTGTCGGTGTCCCCTGCCTCCCCTGTGCCACCACCAGACCTGCAGCTCCACCAGCAGCAGTCCCCTCACAGGTGACATTGGGGTGGTGGCCTGGCCCAGTGGCAGAGAGCACATGGGGACAAGGCTCATCCAGTGGTTTTCCATCTGGCTGTGGGTGCAAGCTGGGGTTTTCTGGTTTGTTTTGGTTTGCAGTTGCGTTGAGTGGGTTTATTCTCAAATGCGGGAACTGTTGTGAAAATGCTGAGAACTTGGCGGGGATCAGCAGCGGAGTTATTTGAGGCATCCCAGCTGGTATCCCTTCCGCTCCCTCCCGGCCTGGAGAGCACGGGCAGCCCAAAGCCTGCCCCCTGGATGGGAAACCAGCTGAGCTGGGGTCTGGGTTTGCTGCTGCCGTGGTCTGTGGTCACAAAGGGGAGCTCTGTGCTACCCAGCTGTCCCCAGAGCTGGTATTGAGGGCTGTGAACCCTCAACACCAGGTAGTAGAATCTGATGGGAAGCTGTGGAGCTCTGCAAGCCTGGTATCACCATGTAATGGCTCCCTAGCCCTCATTCCCTTTTGGCACTCTCTGTACTTCCAAGCTTTGCCATGTCCTCAAAAGACTCTGACTTGGCTCAAGCAAGTCTCTGGTGAGAGCCAGCAGTTGCCACCCCGTTGGGTCTGTGCTGGGGCCTGAGGGGGGTGATTGATGGTTCCCAGGTCCCAGAAAACCCTTGGCACATTAAAAACCTGATGCCAAGGAGCTGCTTTCCTTCACTCCCCATCTACCCTGCTCCTACCAGGACCCTGCTGCAGCCGCAGAAAATTCCCAGGGGAGTGTGGGGCTCTGTGGGAAATGCACTCCCACCTAAGACTCTGAAACTGAGCCACAGCTGAAAAAGCATTCAGGGGCAGAAGCAGGTCCTGACACAGATCCCTTTTAGGAGGTACTTTCCTTCTGAAGCATGGGGGTAAAAACCCCAAACTCAAGAGTAAATGAAAAACACAGTAATGAGAAGTTTTTCTATAGCTTTCCTTTTAATTCCAGCATGTAATGAATGATTCCCATCACGGCAGAAAGGAGGTGGAATGCTGCCCACCCTCCGAGTGCAGTCAGAATAAATAAATCCCATGTTTGCATCTCTATGGAATCTGTCCTCTGCAGAAGCCACAATGTCCTCCACACAGCTGGCTTGTGAGCTCATGGCTGACAGGACTTTGTGCCCGTGCAGGGCAGGAAGAGGCAGACAGCAGCTGCCCTTTCCCTCTGGCAGGGTCTAATGTCACCTCCAAGGTCCAACATGATGCATCCCTGGACCTGAGCACAGCTCCGTGGAGGAGGAGAGGAGCCTAGGGGAGCAGTGAGTGCAGAGCTGAGGCCATGTGCAAGGAGAGCATCCTGACGTGGGATGGGGGACCAGCTACGTCGCGATGTCATGGTCACGTCTTGGCAGCCGCAGGAGGAAGGTCTGCAGGGAGCCGCTGCGTGGGAAACCTGCCCGCTCCTTCTTCTGCTTCCAGGTGTCCTCTTCCACGGAGTAGAGAAGCGTCAGCATCTTGTTGACAGTGTAGATGGTGTCACCCCTGACAATGGCAGTGAAGAGAGCTCCCTTGCTGTTCATGAACTGCCCAGGCAGGGCGCTCCACTGCCGGGACGTCAGGTTGAAGCAGTCGATGACACAACGCAAGAAGTCGTCGTAGGGGCCGTTGCGCATGACGTAGAGGTTGTCACGATGGGCCACCATGCAGTGCCCGTAGCTCTGGTGCCGCTTGAGCTCGGTGACAGGAAGCCACGCGTCCTGCTGGGTCTCGTACTCGTAGATGACAGTGGTGTCCAGCGGCTGCCACAAGCAAACGAAGATCTGCCCCAAGGCTTGGGCACAGGGCGCTGCCGTGCTCGGTTGCGGCAGGTCAGAGACGAATGTCCAGGTGCTGGAGGCCAGGTCGTACCTCTCCACAGACTTGAGCGAGATCTTCTCATACTCGCCACCAATGGCGTAGAGGTAGCCCTCGTGGCCCACCAGCCTGACATCGTAGCGCAGCTGGTGAGGGCTGGGGAACTCGCTCCAGGCGTTGGCATCAGCGTCGTAGCAGAAGCTGCTCTCCACCACCTGCTTGTTGGCCCCGTAGACGCCACCCACGATGTAGATCTTGTTATCCATGGTTGCCATGCCGGCTAGGAATGTGCTGGCGCTCAGTGGAAGGCAGGAGAGGGTCCTCCATGTGTTGGTCTCCTCGTCCAGGTAGCAGATGGTCCTGGAGAGGTCCTCCAAGAACTCGAAGGTGGGTGTGTGGGCTCCCACTGCCACAAAGGTGCTGGGTAGGAGGGCTTCCACATAGGCCAGCAGGTCATCGGAGAGGCAGTCCAGGTACTCCTCCAGCTCAGTGTAGCTGTCCCTGATGTAGAGCGCGGCGCAGTGGAAGAGATCCAGGAGGCCGAATATGGCAGCGGCTTGGTACAGCAGGATGCAGTTGTCAGAGTTGATGGAGTGGATCAAGTATTTGGCCAAGGGCTTCACCTGCAGGAAGGCAGCACATTCCACTGCCTGGAAGGTCTCCTCGCTGCCAAGGATGGGCCTCTCGCCCGCCAGCACCTGCAGCATGGCGAGGAACCCGGCTGCACTCAGCTCCCCCAGCCCGATCTCCTCCTGCGTGCTCTCCCTCATGCCCGAGCGGAAGAGGGCACGGAAGTACTCACTGCTCTCCACCAGCAAGGACTTCTCCACCGAGAATGACTGCTCCTCCACCCGGATACGCACCCGCTGCGGGGGTCCTGCCTGGGAACCTTCCTCCTCTGGGGTCATCCTCACCTGGGACCTCAGCAGCTCTCAGGGGTGGGGGAGCACCCGATGCCCCTCAGTGCCGTGCCCCTGCACAGCCCCCTCCGGCCTTCTCCACCCTTTGATGCCTTTGCTGCACTGCCCGGCGGCCTTGTAATATAAATACCTTGGGCTAAAGATAGCTGAGCTCGTGACCGGGGCCCTTCAAAGGCATCCACCAGGCTCAGCTGCCCCCCCGAGCTCAGGCAGGGTTCCAGTGTCACCAGCCAGCACTGGGCACGGCAGAGGTGCCTGGATCATCCCACGGAGTATGCTCAGCCACTCAGGAGATACCAGGTTTTGCTCTCTCCACTCTCAAGCATCCTTCTAATGATGCCCTACAAAACAGTCCCCAAGCTGGGGAGGGCAACACACTTGCATGGCTGGGAAGAACATCTGGCCACAATATTTTTTTTTCCCTTTAAAATGTGGAGTTTACAGCCCAGGGAGGTAAACAACATCAGCAAATCTCATTGCCACCCAGCTCGGCCATGGAAAAGGGGCTTGGCTGTTCCTCAAGTGTTGCCATGGGCAGGGAGAGACTTTCCTTTGTGACCCTCTCTATGGCAGCAGCATCTGCAACCCCATCCATCCCAGCTGCAAGGAGCCATAAACCAGCCTGTGCTTCACCTGGGGATCTCATGGTGAGAAAAAGGAAGTGCAGCAACCTCTTCTCACCAAAAACCTCCCCTCTGGCCTCAGGGCTTGCCCAGCTCCCCATAATACCTGGCTGTGGGAAGAGATAAACCCCTGTTTACTGACACAGAGCTTGACAGTGAGGAAAAGTGTTATTTGTGGCACATCACTTGTTAGTGTGCTAATCACAGATTTTTCTGGCTAGAAATCCCATTTCAGCTCCGCCATGGGGTGCCAAGGAAGGCTGACAACAGGGCTCACTTGGGGGCTCCTTCCTGGATCTCCCCATCACTACCTGTGATTAGTTTGCAGCTGGTGTTTTGTTTTGATGAATAATTTAACCTGAGCAGCTCATCCTGTTGAAGGTCTATTTTCTGCTCCCTCCTTAACCCCTTCATCCCAGCAGCTGGGAACTTTCCAGGCAGTGCATGATGGCAAAGCTGTTGCCTCAGGATCATGGCCACAGCGGGTTCCCCCAAAAATCCAAGTTTAGGGAAGAATGGGAGAATTTTGCACTTAGACCGCTGTCATTGATCCTCATGGATACCCAGCTTAAAATACCATGTTTAGTTCCAATTGCTTTTAAGCACCCTAGACCTGTGACCAAAGGGGGTCTGGGGTAAAGGGTCCCCAGAGGGGCTCTGCTTCCTGCAGGGGAGTTATCCCTGTGATCCCCATCCTCCCCATCCCTGGGGCTTGCAGGGACTTCCACACTCCCAGACTATTTTGGGAGGGTTTAAAAATATCCTGCCTGTATTAACGGGCAATATTCCCAAGGGTGCAGCAGCCCCGCATGGCCACGGAGCAGCCTCGGCCCCCCAGCCTCGGCTGTGGCCCCCCCGCAGTCCCTCGGGACCGGCCCAGGGGCCGCATCCTGTGGTCCCGGGCATCGAGCCCTATCCCAAATGGCTGTGATCACCATGACAACGCTGACTTCAGCCTCCGCCACCTACTCAGGCTCAGAGCCACTGGGTGCCGGCTGATGGATTGGTACGGGCACTGGTGAGTACTCCCCGGGCTCCCTCTTCCTCTTGGCACCGAGGCTTTTGGGTGGCAAAAGGGTATTTCTCTCCCTCGAAAGCCTCTGCCGGCAGCAGAAGGTGTTGATTGCGTCCGAAGGAGCCGGGCAGGTGGCGCACAGGGTGGCTGCACAGGCAGCTCCGGGTCTGCTCCTGCCTGCGGGAGCTGTGATGAGTGCGCCGGCCTCAGCCAGGGCAGAGGGACCAGGCTTGGGCTCGCTGGGGACACAGCGAGGAGCTGAGCGCTCAGGAAGGTGCCAGGACGCGGCGAGGTGGCCACCAAGCCGAGGCACGGCAGGTCCGGGCCCGGGGGTCCCTGCCCGAAGCCGGGGGAGCTCGGGGTGCCGGCGTGTGCTCTGCCGGGGGGACCGTCCTCGGGGTGGCCGGGGCAGCGTGTCCAGCCCCGCGGCGTGGCAGCTTTCCTTACAAGGAGTTTGGCTGGAGCCCGAGCAGCGGGAGCCGCGCTTGCCTCCGCCTGCCTCATTCATCGCAGCCCCGGCCGTGCAGGGGCCGCTGCTGCCCCGGCCCCGCGCTCACGGAGAACCCCGCGTCCCCTCCGGCCGTGGGTTTTAAGGTGGGAGGCTGCGTTTCTCTTCTCTTTCTGGGGTGTGAGGGGTAGGCAGAGGGCTGGGGGGTCCTTTCGGTGGGGTGCTGGCCGCCACTGTGGGATGAGGATGCCAGCCAGGCTCAGGATGTGGATGGAGGAGAGGGGATCTCCCACCCTGGTGCTGCTGAGCCCTTCTCTCCCCGAGGCTGGGGCACCCACGAGCCAGGCAGTGAGAAGGTCCCCATCCGACGTGGCAGCGGGTGCTCCATGTCCCCCCGCTCTGTCCCGCAGGACCAAGGATGTCCTCGATGTTCGGCAAACCCCGAGCCAGCAGCGAGCGGCCGCCCCAGAGTCCCCTCCCCGAGTGCAACGTGGCCATCCTGGGGTGCAGAGGGGCCGGCAAGTCAGGTGAGACGGGCAGGGCAGGGCATTGGGGAGCTGCCGTCAGGGGACACCTGCCTCACCTGCCTCTTTCACCTCCTGCAGCTCTGACCGTGAAGTTTCTAACCAAGAGGTTCATCAGTGAATATGATCCCAACTTGGGTAAGGCACGTTCTTATCCCATGGAGCATCCTTCCCATTTCCCATGAATGTGGCATGTAAGGGGAAAGAAAAAACAACCCACCCAAAATTATATAAAAAACAAGAAGAAGGGCTGGATTTGACCCAAAATCATTTGTGAAAACAGAGGTGAAAGCAGTGCCCTCTCTGGGGGGACTTCCCATGGGAACGTTGGCTCCTCGCATTGTCCCCAAAAAACCAAAAGCTGAATTCTTGAGGCTCTTTGAGGAGCATCTCATGTCTATTGGGCAGGGAAAAGGCTGAGGAAACGAGCACGGGTGCACAGCAGGCAACCCTAGGGCTGAGTTTTGCAGTGAGCAGTTCTGGGCATTTTTTTTCCACTCATTTAAGTAATTAATTACTATTTTCCTAGGCCTGACTCCAGGCTGTGGGGAAGAACCATAAATGATTTATCGGGGACATTAAGGAGATATGGACCTTGTCCAAGAACCAACTCCAGCCCCTAATAATTCAGTGACTCTTAGAAAGAAGGATAAATCCTTTCTTCCTCAGATATTTTTGGGAATGTGGTTTTATCTTCCCACGTCAAAACCTTTCCGAAACGCATTGGTTAAAAGCTGGCCCAAAGAAAGCATCTATCTCCTGGGGGAATGGCTCAATGGCTCTCCCTGCCTGATCTCCTTCCAAAAGAAAGGACTGCTCCTCTCGCTTGATTTATTGGGAAACAGTCCCATGTCAAGCCCCCATCTTGCTTTATCTCATCAGGCCATGGCTTTTAGATAAGGACCAAGCCCTGGGTGCAGCGATTGTTGTGCCAAGCTCCTTCCCCTCCCTCCTTCTCCTGTGGGAGCCCACGCTTGCAGCACGGGGAGAAATAACTGCTCCTAGCCAGGCTTGCCCAGCAACATCACCACCAGTCCCTCAAAATAATGTTGTCTCAGGAAGGAGTAAGGTGGGAGGAATTGGTGGAGGATGCTCCTCATCAGGGCTGAAATTTTTCCATGGTATTCCAAGCATCCTGGGTTCTGCTTGGCTTTGAAGAAGACAGGATGTGCCAGCCCATCCTTACAACCACCCTTCTTCTTGCAGAGGACACCTACTCCTCGGAGGAGCTGGTGGACCAGCAGCCTGTGCTTTTGAAGGTGATGGACACTGCTGACCAGGTAAGGCATTGGGGGTGTGGTTACCAGCTGGACCATGGCTGGACCACGACTGGACTGGGGCTCAGCCACTCCTCCCACCCCAGGATGGCCCTGGGAACTGCGAGCGCTACCTGTGCTGGGCCAGCGCCTTCCTGGTTGTCTACAGCATCGACAGCAGGAAGAGCTTCGAGGGCTGCCAGCGCTACCTCGAGGTGCTCGCCCTGCACGCGCGGGGCTGCCAGCGCCACTGCCCCGTGCTCCTGCTGGGAAACAAGCTGGACATGGAGCAGTACAGGTACCGGGCACGCGGTAAGGCTGCCTGCTCCCCGTGGGAGAGAGCTCACAGATCCCTGTCCCTCCTGCTGGGATGCACAACCCAAATCTGATTTCTTCACGGGTATTTCCACCCCCATTAGTATTTGAACATCCTCCCACATCCCTGAATTTTCTGCTTTCCTGCCCCAGGGCTGATGTGTTTATTTTGAGCCCATTGGTATTTTCAGTAGGATGTTTTTTGGCTGAGTGTTGAGGCAGCGTCACCATCCCTGGCAGGGCTTGAGCCAGAGAAGCCCCTCTGGACATGCCCTTCCTTTCCCGGGAGCCCTCTAGTTCCAGCCCCACTGCCAGGACTGGATGTGCCCAATATGTTTTTCTGGCCTTTTGTGCTGCTCTGTGGTCCCACGGGCCCCTGAGTCACATGCATTGCTGGAGCCCTCATGCTCTCAGGATGGAGGTATCCCCCTCCCCACAGCAAGGACCTGCCCCATCTCCTCCTCCCTGCTTCCCAGTGCACTGTCATCACACCCACCCCTGGGTTCCTGGAACACATCCCTAACAGGAGAAGCTGTGTGATTCCCCAGGGACACAAAGAGACCATTACTCTGGGATTTTGGGAAAAGCAAAACTCTTTTGGATTCATGTCCCAGGGCAGGGATGGGCAGGTGCTACCTTGGTGCTCTTTGAGGAGGCATGGGATGCATGATCTGTTACCTGCACCTTTTTTGGGTGGCTGCTGTGCCCCAAGGGATCCTGCACCCATCCCCTCTGCTCTTGCCAGGCAGGTGCTCTCAGCAGAAGGGATGTCCCTCGCCAGCAGGTTCGGGTGCCTCTTCCATGAGGTGTCGGCATGCCAGGACTTCGCTCGGGTGCAGCACGTGTTCCACGAGGCCGTGCGGGAGGTGCGGCGCCAGGCGGAGTGGAACCTTCCCGTGCGGCCGCTCTTCATCTCCGAGGAGCGGCCCTGCCCGCCCGTGGCCACGCCGGTGGCCCTGCCCACCCACCACAGCTTGGCCACCTGCACCTTCAACACCCTCTCCCCCGTCAACTACAAGGAGATGCCCTCGGTGGCCCAGGCCAAGCTGGTCACCGTCAAGTCCTCGCGGGCTCAGAGCAAAAGGAAGGCTCCCACGCTCACCTTGCTGAAAGGCTTCAAGATATTTTAGGACACGTCCCTGTGGGCTGCAGAGAGGGAGGAGAGAGACCCTCATCCATCCTGCCAGCTCCACAGGAGCTGGGACCTTCCATGATGGACTCACGGGCACTGCAGCAGCTGCTGGCAGACAGCGGCCCTGGTCTCTGTGCTGGGGCAAAGCCAGCAGTGGCAACCCGGCGAGCAGGCAAAGTGCCAAGGGTCTGACATGGGCTGTGGCATTGCTCTGCCTGCCCCTGCCTGGTGTTTGCACCCTGTCCTGCCACTGCCACTGGGGCCAGCCCAGTTTTCTGTGAGTATGCAGCAGCTTCCAGAGGAGCCGGAGCTGTGGATACCATTGGGAGGGGAAGGGCCAACCCCACGGCCACCAGCCAGCTTGGGCACCTGGCCTGCACCTACAGGAGCCAGGAATGAGGAACTAATCATTACTCCAGCATGGAGGCACCCATCTCATTCATCCCACAGGTCCCCAACTAAGCAATAAGTAGGAGGAATTTTTGAATTTTTATTTTTTTAAACCCAGATAAAAAAGGTGCAGATAATGTTTCAGCTGCTTAAAGGCCTCAGGTAGCCTGTAACCCACAGCCACACATCAAGCTAAGTCACACCAAAATTGCTGCTTTTTTGCTCAACTTTTTACACAATAGCATCCCTTTCCAAAGGCTTTGCAAAGAGATGCTTGCTGACAAGGACATGGTCTGCAAAGTCTGTGTTTAAAAGACTGATGTATTTCCAATAAAGTCCTAAATTATTTCATGGCTTCTACACGTGCCCAGTGAAGGACACAAAGGGAATCCTGGAGCAGACCAGGCTCTACCTGTGCCTGAGCCAGGGTCAAGGGCTGGATGTTTGGTTTCAGGTGCTCTATCAGATTAAATGTTCTGCTTCTCCCTGGAGTTGCAGTTACTTTGCAGAGTAAAATATCCATGTGTATATTTGTACATATAGCCATATAAATATATATATATGACCTTACTGACAGATTCAATATGGCATTTTGATCAACCACTTTGGAAAGTATTTTAATAAAGAGAATTCTGAAAATAATAAAAATGTCTCAGCTTCAGTGTTGCTGTTTTCCTGATGGGAAGTGAGGGTGCTTTCCCTGGCTGACTGCAGGGCAAGCTTCCCACTTACTTCCCTGGCTCAGGTCAAACCTGTTTGCAGCACCTGAGGGAGGAGACGAAGCTGGCACTGGAGGGAAATCTGGAAGCAGCCAGAGCAGTGGGGGAACACCAGCCAGGCAGGAGCTGAGCCCAGGGCCCATCCTGCAGGTGGAACTCTGCTGCTTACTTGTTTCACACTTTTCTTTCTCCAGGCTAAACTGCATTTTTAAACTTGCACCCCTGTGAATTGAGACATTCTGATACCTTCCTTAAGGCCTAATGGGCTGATTCCAGCTGCCACTATATGGCCTCCTCAGACGTCTCTGTGTACAGGGATGTGACAGTCCCATCTTTCCACTGGACCATCACGTCCCCTGGTCTCTGGGGCCCTGGCTGCTGCTTTAGTGGCTCAGCCAGGTTGTATTCCTGCACAGGCATCAGGGCTTGCTTGGCATCGAGGTCAGCCTCCTGTGTGGGCTGTGCTGTTTCTCCATTCACGAGGATCTTCCTTTTCCTGCAGGGAAGGCACAACAAGGACACACGAAGTGAAGCAGCAAGCCCAGCTCACATCTGAGGGCACCAACCCTGGTGAGGGTCACAGCCATCAATTTACACCGTGTTCCTGGGACACGCCAGCTGCTTGCGGGCAAACGCCGCCAGGTAAGCTGCGCCAGGTAAGTGCTCTGAAGTGTTTGAGCACACACAGCTGTGCGATTCCCTCTTGGAGAGCACCCAGCTCCTGGCGCCAGCAGCCAGCCATCGCTAGAGGGAGAGCGAGGCAGGCTCACAGCGTTAGCGTTTCTCTCCCCTGAAGACGGCAGCTCTGACAGTGCTAAGTTTTCGCGCCCTAGCAAACAGCAAGTTGCTCCTCAGCTGGGGGATTGTGTGAGGATGTGGATGAGGAAAGGCTGGGAGTCCTGCTCCAGAGCCCCTGTACTTAGGAGAGAGCACCTCACACCACAGTTACCGTCACTTCCCTCCCAGCAGCCCTGTTGGGCAGGGCAGAGCTGTGCAGACCTCTCTATTCCATCCAGGGCCCAGACAAGGGGTTTGTTCCAAGTGACATAAAGCGAGCAGGCATCAGGCAAGTTTTTATAATAAAAAATGGTTCAAAGGGAGTTTGCTCTTCTTCCCCATCACTCAGGGTTTGTCCTGCCCTGCCAAACTCCTGTGGCTGTTTGCCTGGGAGGCTTTCAGGGCACCACCACACACCAAAAGATTCTCAAATTTTCCTGTCTCACCTGTTTCGCACAATGTTAATGGTCAGAAGAATGAGACCCAAAATCATGGTCGCGAGGGACAGCGCAAGAACAGAGTAATTCCACGTTGAGGCTGAGGGAAAGCAGAGAGGCAGTGTTAGCAGGCACAGCACAGTGTGACCCTTAGAGCCTGGCCAGGGGTTTTCTGAGGACGTCCAAGATGCTCTGTCCTTGATTTTTGTGGCTTTGAAGTTGATCCTCATGACGCTGACCTGCTGCTATGTCAATCTGCTCCCTCCACCCTGCCAAAATCACAGGAGACCTTTGCTCTCTTGGCAGGCTCTGCCTAGAAAGAGGCTGAACCCCAGAGACAGAATCTCAGCAAAGCCTCCTGCCTATCTTCACCTATGGCCTGCTTATTTCAGAGGCAAGACTGAGGGTTTGTGTGTCTGGGGTAAATCACCTCCTCAGGCATCTCTGTTAGGCAAGAAAGTCAACAGCCAAGGACTGTGTCTCAGCCCAGGAACACCAATGGGACTTACGGTCCTCTCTGCGGAAGAACCAGAGCAGCTCCTCCAGCTGTTCCAGTTCCAAGCCCAGTGGAAGGGTAACGTTGCCTGCTGTGTGCTCATCCATGTGTGTGCTGGCCAGGGTGGTTGGGTGGTACTTGTGCTCTGCCTCAGCTGTGGTGGAAAGACAAAGATGCAATAGTCACTCACTGCAGCTCTTCAGACTGGAGGTGACCTTCCCCTTCACTCCCAGGGTTGCCCAGCATGTCTCTCTAAGGAGGCAGAATGCAGCCCTGAGTGCACAGCCTGATGTCATGCACTGAGAAGTGGAGAGTGTTTTTGGCTGCAGACCCCATTATGGTGAGGCAGCAGGGCTGCAAAGACTTCAGAATGTTGATAGAGCCTTTCCACATCCCCCATCTCCCACCAAGGAGAGGCAGCTCCATGTGCCACAATTCACCAAAGAGTTGCCTTGCCCAGACCAGTCCTGCAAATCTGAATCTGGACTGCAGTCCCCCAGCAAGAAATTCTTATTTATCAGGCTGGCCTCTATACACAGCTTGAGTCTAGTAAATTTTATCAGAAAAGCTTCAGTGTCTGCAGAGAAACCAACATATAAGTGTGGCCAACCCCCAGCACAGAACATGCATGCAGAATGCAGATGGGAATGACACCTGGTTCTGGAGCAGGAGTGTGACTTTTTCCTTGGCTCAGTCAGGCTGCTGCTGGTGTATATGGAGGAAAATAGCCCCACAGAAAGAAACTATATTTCCAGGAAGTTAAGGTCTTTGCACATGTGATCTATTTCACCCACACCATTATCCTTTAAGCCAAGACTCTACCTTGTAGCAGGAAAAATGGGATTATCCAGAAGAACTTCATATTTGTGTATGCAGATGGGATGGATCACACCTTCACAGTATTTCTTCAGCGTGGAGATGCCTGCAAAAGAGAGAGAGACTAAGGATTTGAGAAAGAACCTGATTCCCCTCCCTACTCCAGCTCTTTTCAGAGAGAGGATCTCGTGTACCCCAGCATCTGTTTCCTCCTGAGAACGTGAGTCTGACCTGCCAGGACAGGGTTCAGAAATCCCTGGGCCACCAAGGTGACAGCAGAGGAGTCTGGCACAGCATCTGCTGCCCGAGGTGAACCTGTACAGATGTGAGCTCAGCTGCTGTGAGCCAGCCCCTCCCCAGCTAACAAAGCTTCCCTGCTTGCTCCCCTGCCATAATCCCTAGAGAACATACTTTGCATGTGATTACCTATTGCCAAGCCATGGATGGCAGAATATGGGTGTGGAGATGAGGAAGTGGAAGGCTGAGCTCCAAGAGGAGGCAAGGCTGGCTTGCCGTTGAGGCTATGGTGTCTCCCATCCCTCAAGGAAACAGAGAGTCCTCCTTGACCTTTAGTCCCTCATTTATTAGTGGCATCAATCCAACTTTTATGGCTTCTCCTTCAAATTAGTTCTTCAGTGTCCTTCGAAGGGACCTGCCCTGAGCAGGGGTTCCTGGCTGCCCACTGTGAGCTGGTGAGATGTTGAGGTGGCTCTCCCCAGCCCACTGCTCACTGGCCATCACTCACTGGCAGGTCAGCCACACCACAACACACATGCATCCCTCAGACATTCTGGCCCCACAGGCCATTAATTATTATATGAAGACTTTTATGACCGTCTGATACTCCCAGGTTTTACCTGCCTTTGCTGTGTGGCCTGGTGCTGTTTGAAACTTGCTCCCAAGCATGTTCCACTGTGCCAGGCGTGTCAACAACGCTGCTGCTGACTCCTCAGGGAAACATTTGTCCCGTCGGTTATAGACCTAATGATTGCTACTATTTTCCCCCCCATTCTCAATGTCTTCACAATTCAAAGTTCACATTTTATAGCTAACCAGGCATGCAGGCTTACTCCCTGCTGCCAGAAAACCACCTGCTAGCAATTCTTTGAGGAGGGGACTCTCAAGTACGTGGTCCACTTTGTATTTCAGAAAATACGGGTAAAGCTGCTCCCTGCAGTTAGGTGTGCCAATTACCCTTCCATCCAGGTAACCTTTAGCTTATTCACATGGATCACCCCTCACAAAGGAGGAAATAAGGCCTTGGTGCCAATGAAAATAAGTTACAAGTCAGCTACACCCTAATAAGAAGTGGCACTTGAATGTGTTAAATCTTGCTGTGCAAGGCTTCTGAGTAATCATTTGCTTAAAGAGGAATATTTGACAAGCATGTTGCTGATTTTCCCCTTAGGTGTTTCATAAGCTGTGGGCTACCTCCTGGTGTCTGTGCACAGCAGGGATGCTGGAAAGCTGCTTTGCTACTTCATCAAGTAGTGACCAGCAGCCAAATCTCCCCAGACATGGGAGGCCAGAACTTTGCGGGTAAAACACAGCAGCAGAATGGACCCTTATTGTGCATTAACAGGACATTTAAGTTAAAGACATTAAGGGAAACTTCTGTTATTTTACATATCTCTTACATCTAAATCACATTAACAAAATTAGTTTCATTCATCAAAGCTACAAACCAAAGTGTTGTCAGGTCACTGTGTCTACTCCAGTAGAGACTGAGCAGAATTCTGCCTAAACCACCAGTTTCCCCAGTAAGAAAACGGTGACTCCCACAGTTGGGCTGGACATGCTCTGAGGAGCTTGGATCTTCCAGCCTGGAAGAGATTGTTCAAGGCATCTCCTGCAGCCTCCCCCACCCAGCTGCTCTGCCCTGCTGCCCACATCCCACCGTGGGTGAGCGCTGCTCCACGAGACCAGCTGGGACAGGTGGGGGATGCTCTTCCCCACTGCTCCCCTGCTGCACATCTCAGCAGTGACTCTGGTGGCTGAGGGACAGGGACGAGCCCTTAGATCCAGGCCTCTGCACCAAATGTGCACTTTGGTCGCCTGTCCCTCACCCAAGACCCTTCTGAGGTTGATTCCCAGCTTGGGTACAACAGGGGAAGCTCAAATGAGAGAGAGCTCATGCATTTTATTCTCCTATGGAAGGAGGCAGAAAGAACAAAGAGGCCAGTGCCTCTCAAGAAACATTTTACCTGTGTTATTTTGAGTTTATATTGACTCCTGAACATCTTTGTAATTTCTTTCTTCTTGCAAATGGGATTTTAACATCAAAAGCTGCAAAATCTGTACAGTATTATGTATTTCAGGAACAAAGAGTCACACAACAATGCTATTTCAAATCCTCTTGTGGATCTGTAGACTTTGCTGGCATTCAA